CTCGGAAATGAAGGCAGATGTGCGAAATGAACCGCCAGTAAAGAAAAAAGGGGGGAAACAAACAAAAATATCGACAACAAGAGTCTGCTTTTTCGTGTGCTAGGCAAGTCCACTGGAAGGTCGTCCTACAGGTATTGGACCGCGATGTGAGAGCGCATACAGTAGCTGTCAGATGCCTTCGCCAAAACAGTTTTGCGTATATAAATGTCTTTCGGGAAAGGTCTTGAACACCGGAAGCGTTTTCCCTTGAATACCTTGATTCGTTGGAAACCGAAAATTCAAAAAAAATACTAGACAGAAAGCATAACGGTTTTAAAGAATCTGATTTGGTGAAAAAAAACCGTTACGGCGAAGACATTCAACCCCCACTGCGCTCAGAAATGAGAGAGCATGTGGGTAAGCGAGACGCAGACACAAAGGCATTTGCAAGGATGGGCGTGCGTAGACACGCGAATGAGGTAAGCATGGACGCAAGCCTCAAGTTCCATGCCCTTGCTACGCGTTCTGAGGCGTGAATTTGGCATTATCTCGGTGGTTGCGGACTCAGCTACTTCATTCATAAAAACGGTAGTTCCAATGAATACGCTGTCAGAATGTGCCGACAAGTTCAATTAAGAGCGCAAAATAAAAACCCAGCGCAATCTGACTATTTTGCTTGAGCTCAGATAAGCCCGCGACCACAAAAAATGTCGATCATCAGACGGTTTGAAGGTTGACTGCCTCTATGATAGCATCATTTCTACTTGAGATGAGCAACGGGGTCGGAAAAGTCCGCCAAGACCGCCTCAGGCTTTTGGTAACCACCACTCTTCTACTGTGCTTCAGCTGGGGTAGCCCGACAAGAGACCCGTCGCGCGGCAAGAAGGCAGAGTCAGCGGACGAGTCGCAGCGCGTACTGTAGTGATTTCGCGTCAAGTTAAATAGAATGTACCATTGTACGTCCTACATCGCACAGCACGCGCTGCGACTCGTCCGCTGACTCTGCCTTCTTGCCGCGCGACGGGCCTCCTGTCGGGTACCCTTAGCTGCATCCACCAACTCAAAGATCAACCTGTTAATTCCTGCAGAACTAATCAAACTACTTATACGTAAAAAAACAGAAAAAAATGCCAAATGCCCTGGAAACCTTAATTTGCGCAATATTTCAAAAAAAGAAAACTCAAGTTCAAAGCAAAGTGAAGCACGTGTGAGCCGAGGAAATTTAAGAAGATACGACTCTTCCCTATCTTTCCCTATAAATAAAAAGCCCTTTCTCTATCTCGATGAGCCCCGTGTCCCCCCAATTCCAGCACCCTTCTGAAGCAGGATGTGTCAATAGTGTCGCTGACTACGTGACCCACTCTTCCAATTTTGCTCCCCCAACTCCGACGGGGGTGACGGCAGTGAAGGTAGGTAACTGTTAAGCATTAAATTTAATGCAATCACTCATTCCATATCCGGCATACCATACGATTTTATCGGACACACTACCTCACCTGCACCTTCCATAGCAATACAACCAAATTCGCTCGGCCGTGGCTCATCCTGAGAACAGTTCCCATCTCTGCCTTCATTGAACCAAACCACCCGAGATAATTGATCGGGCAACAAATAAGTTCAATGAATACACGAAAAAGTGGCAACAAATGTCAAATGCTAACAACGACTAAATTCGACAAAGTCTAGTGAAAGAAGGGAACAAACTGTAATCTGATAAATGACACAGATGGCATTAGTCGAAATGGAAGTGACCTTAATAAGATGTGAGCGAGTGTCTCCGCTCGATAGGTTGTATACACGAGTATCGTATTCAGAAACGTTTTTGGGTACGGTATTCGGCTCAAAACCTAAGCCTCTATGGATGGACTGGCATGATACTATCTCAGAGGCTGAAACAGTAACGGCTCATGGCAGAAGGGGCCAGTGAGAAAAGACTCTGCACATTGGAGAGATCCATCGGTAGATTGGAGTCGAAGAAAGTGTTTACGCAAAAAAGGCGGAGATCCTCTCTCCCCCCGCTCTTTAGAAGAGCTTCGAGCCGTGCTAACATTCTACGGCTCGATTGCCGTCGGTAGTTAAAAAAAAGCTGTAGTAGGCTAGTAGCTGTCGCCCCCACCTACCCACATAAAACCTCTGGCAAGGGTTCAGAAAAGGAGTTGTATGGACTTCATAAAAAAGAACGCAGAGACCACTATTTCTCCAACGTCGACGAAGAAGTTACTACCAAACTCAGAAGAAAATTTATTGGAGTCACAGAATGAAGTTAAACAAGGGATTTGGAAACGCCACCAAAAGAGCTTAGCATGGCTATCAGAGATTTTCTTGCAACAAAAAACCGGAAGTCTTTTCCTAGCTCTACGCGCAGACAGGATGGAAGGAACAGTTACGTTCTCGTTTTCTTGATTTACTTGCAACAAATACGCTGTAAGCTAGGCAGGGGAAAGGCTAAAGCACCCGCTTCAATCAGTTTTCCTCTGATTCTAATCGTTCAGATGAGTAAATTTCGTACGCACAAGATAGAGGCAGAATTTACAATGAAAAAGTTCTCTCATTGGAAATAAGGTAGAGGTGTCAGTGTAGGCAGAATATTAAGATAAGCTATTGATGAAGGCCGAACACCGCATCTCTGAATGTGTATACTCGCGCAACGTAAATAGTACTGCGCGAGTTGAACAGATACTACGTGGGCGTGTGCACGCGCCCACTGCGCCACCCAGATTGACGTCACCCTGTGTTTATTTCGCCAATCCCAACTCACTGATGAGCTCCGGGGATTGACGAAATAATAAGGTTCGTCTGAGGAAGGAGCGAAACGAACCATTTTAATTATTTTGTTTATAATGGTTTTTTCTTTCTTTTAATAGGTCGCCGAGGTCAACTCCTTCGGTGCCAATTGCGCTTCAGTCCGCACCCTCAGGAGGTCCACCTGTCTCCCAAACACGCAATTTTCCCCCTCTTTGACCTTCTTTTCGAAAGTGAATTCCTCCTTTAATGGAGCCAGCTGATGTTCACGTCTGTATTTTTACCCTCCCAACCATTTCCTTTATCAATAGTCGGCCGCTGAGAGATGGAATACATGGGTGGCCGGGCGGAAATGGGTCTACACGGACATGTTATTCTTAACTGGTTGTCCTGGGTGGTATTAGATCACGGTTACCTCTTCCTCTCACGACTATGTGCACTACAATGAGCGGCGCCACTGGCCACTGCATCTTTTTACCGTGCTGACTGAGAATCAAAATGAAGAGACTCTTGGCTCCCTGAGACTCTCCAACTTAGGAGAAAGGAAACTATGCACTATGGGAGTCTTCCCTCTTGATCCTAAGGACTACTTCCAAAACTGAGCACTTATAACAAAAAGGAAAAGTTTGTTGCTCTTTTGCGTGCGTTCCTTGCCCCCCGTCCGTTTGCGAAAAGACTGGCTCAAGACCTAGATAACCTATACTTACTGATATGTACAAAGATAATCATGGTTCAACTTAAACATGTGTACATGTAAATATTTTTGAAATTTCAAGAATTCGGTCACAGCGTCTGTGCGAATGATGTCAACTTACCCGCAGAGCAAAATATAGGCAATTACTCCTATCGACCATACATCGACAGCTTTTCCATATGGCTTTTGCTGAAGAACTTCAGGTGCAACATACCTAAACAATTAATTAAAGTTGAGAGGAAACGTGATTTTGCTCAGTTTTCTCATTTCTTCATCTTCATAAACAGTCGTTTCATTATTGATGAAGACTGGTTTTCTAAATATTCTATACATCCCTGGAGAAAGGATGAGATGGCCTTGGTTATATACAGAGTGGTCTCAGTATCGTAATAGGGTTCATCCTCAGAGTCAAATTCAAATTCAGGGGTAACACGTACCCGGGGATAAAGCGCCCCCTGGGGTCATTCTGAAAAACTGTGGAGCCCCAGTCAACGCTTGGGCCTGAATTCGCGATAAAATGGGTCAAATCTATGGCTAACTCTACATCCCTCCCATCTACGACGGTATTGGTTCACGCCAAGCGCTGGCCCACCTACACTTCAAGCATAATCACTTGAACCTCAACCGTTCTACAGCTTTCTCCTCCTTATGAGGGACATTCACTCCATTGATGTTCTCGAGGGTAGGCGAACTCGAGCAGGGGTGCAGGGGGAGGGTTCTTGCGATTACGCAACCAGCCTGAAGAGACACAAGGTAAAAAAGTGAGTAAGTGGTGATCCATGACAGTGATCATGATGACTGGGAGTGGGCGGTTTTGATAACATCACTGAACGTCATTGGTAACGAGACCCTTAACAAGGAAGGTCGTTCAGGGTGTGCCAAGCTTTTTCAAAACGGTCTTTTGCATGATATAGGGGCACATGCGGGAACCACAGAACCATGGTTAATTTTTCCTGAACGGCCCTCTGAATACCAGAAAAGGGGGTCCCTAGTCACACCTTTTTCACCAGTTTTTCAATCAAAGTCTATTTGTAAGGGTTACTGACGGTCCTAATCATGAATGGTACTAATTATTCATGCTAACTCCATTTTGCGCGAATTTTGGAAACGTCAACTCGAAATGCAAAAATTTGTCACCACGAGGAATCGAACTAGGGACCCCTTTTCTGGTATTCAGAGGGCCGTTCAGGAAATGAGTTTTTCTATGGTTCCGTGTATGTGCCCCAATGTCATGCATGAAACTTCTGAAAAGCTTGGCGCCACCTGGAGAACTCTTTATTAGCGCGCCAAGACGTATAGAGACCTCTCTTAGCGGCTCTTCGACCGAAATGCTGCGTTCGCAGCGCCTCCAGCCACGGTGATCCTGCCTTGAGATTCAGGTGCGGATGCCTTCAAACTTAGGCAGGAGAAGCGGCTTTGCATCAGGTTATGTGGGGAAAAGCCCTTTGACTGCTGAATCATTCAGAATCATGTGAAGGGAGGAGAACCTCAACAGCTGGCGTCTCACACGGCCACATCATTCCGAAATAGTCGAAACATTAGGAAAAGGCCGAGGAGGGCTCAAAAACAGCAGAAAAAAGAGGAGAAGGAGCATTTGTCTTACGGGGAAGTGATCCTACCCTCTTTAATGCGTCATTATCCCACATCAGACAACCACCGTACTTCAGCCGAAATCAAGTAGTACCAAATATAATTTGCATGGGTAATAAATCATGATCCTCACCCCGGCGTTCCGCAGGCTGTTGCCATCACGCCCGAATCTTCGGTTTTTGAGAGACCAAAGTCCGACACCATGATTTTTGAGTCCTGAACAAAACAATTAGAAGGCCGCCACCAAACGAGCTGTCGGCGACCAAAGTGTTAGCTATCGTACCTCGTCCTGATTATAATATAGAAGATTTTCTGGTTTAAGATCCCGATGAACGACACCGTTTCCGTGCATGAATGATACTGCGTGGAGCACCTGAAACTCTCATGAAGACCATTCAACTCTGATAAGCACTCTCCTCCAGACAACCCACCTGTCGTATTAAGTGACTTGCGTCCTTTTCTGTGTAGGATCCTTTGGCGACTATTCGATCGAATAGTTCTCCACCTGTGACGAGTTCCATAACGAGATATACGTATTGTTTTTCTTCATAGGTGTCGTATAATTGAACGATATTCGGATGCCGCAGCCTGTAAGCAATTTGTGAGATTAGCTTTGATTTACGGGAGGTTGGAAGGGAACTGGGGGGGGGACCGGGGGAAGGTGGGAGGGAGCGGTTTCTGCCTTGTATTTATGAGGATACCAGGCTAAGGAGTTGAGCTGATTGGCTTGAATGCCTGAATTGAATGCTTAAACCAACACAAGTGTTAGGCTGTCCCTCTCACCACGAGGTCAAATGCAGCACTGGCCGCATCGACTTTCGCCCAAGGCAACCAAACCTCTCATTCCTCCGAGATCGGTTGGTGTTGTCGGACAAAGAGGCTCATACATGGGTTGTACTGACAAATCATTGTATGGACCCAATCACATTCCACTGACACAACGACTCTATATAGAAGTGGAATGCATGGCGCATCCCAAAGTTATCAGCGCCAAATGCTGCTTATAGAAAACGGTAGGTGAGGCATCTCTGCGCACTTATCTAGTTTTTGCGTTTGATTTTGCTCCAGAAATGATCGTCGTTCTGAAAGCGGAGTTCAAATTTTCACATAGCCCACTTCGAAGAAGTCATAAAAGGAGGAAGGATAAAGCATAAAGATTAGTCCGCCCAATTCTGGAATAAGCCACGCATTCTACTTCCGTGCAGAATTGCAGTGTTAATTTGAGCCTAAATTTGGCCCATACAATGACTTACGGGGGTCAGCCGATATATCAATCTGTGTTTTTTGTCGTCCCACACAAATCTCGCACCCAAGAGGGATGGGTGGTTCTGTAGCCGGACGATATACTACCCAGGGTTTGGTTTCCGAGCCGCGCACGTGGTAAACAGCGCCACTTTCCCCTACACCACCACTTACGCCCATCTGGGGATTACTTCTCGAGAATAATGGGAAATGGGCCGTTCCCTTGAAGAACTTGTACTTTTTTCTTCAGAAAGGTGATGGCACAACGCTCCTTTTTGTTGGAGAAAAGGAACCTCAAATCACTCTTGTCATGAAAACTTTCCCAGTTTTTATCGTGAAGAGATTGAAGCCCATCACACCCGTCTGTGTTGCAAATTCGTGGGTGATAAATGAGTCCCAGGAGCGCGTCATCATGTCTATCCATTATAGCCTTTGATCCCACTAGTCGGCACTTCCCCAGAGGACGACGACTCAATCAGCTCTACGGATCACACATGTATCATGACTCTTCAAAAAGGGCTTTTTCCAAGGCTGATTTTTGTCCCAGTAAAGGGCACACTGTTGCCTTTACATAGACCAAGCCTTCCAGACTATAGCTTTCCTCTTGACAAGCTAGAAAGTCACGGGCGGCCTCAAGGGCTTTCCCGAACACAGAGATAGCCATCCTGCTCTTCTTTGAAGGGAAATTCGATAAGGAAAATATAATATCTAAAAAATTTGGTAATATTAATCTTAGAAATATTATAAATCGGCTTCCCATAAATACTGTTGCCATTGCTCCAAAAACAGAATCGCTTTCGCTGTGCAGAGATTGCCCAGAAGGGAATTCGCAGCACCGCAAACGCAACGCCTTCTTGTAATGCTTTGCGAACTTTTTAAAGACCCCCTCCCTCCATGAACAAGAACAGCTTGAGTTGTATTACATTTCGAAATAGCGTGCCCATGGAACAACTCCTATCAAGTTCTGTAATGCTAGGTGAGTTTTCCAAATTTGTTGCGTTCAAAATGGGGCTAGACACTCCACCCCCCCTACCCCCTCACACCTCAAGAGAGTCCCATTTTGAATCTCTCGAAATTTCTGAGAAAACGATAAGGTTTCCAGTAAGTGTTGCTTTTCTAGGAACCAACCCCAATAAATTGATCAATGCCCATGGCCACTAACGAATTATTGATGAACAAGAACGATTAGCTGAGAGTTCTCGTCCATGCGGAAGTGGCGTAGTGACAAGCGGAGTCGATCGCTACGCACGCAAAATGACGCTTTTTGCTGACCCTCAATCTCTGCTCGGCGCAAATTAATTTCAAAGGCACGCCCAAGGATCAATTGGTGTCATTCTTGCACTCGGAAATGAGGCCTTGGTGCGAAGAGAGCCAGCAGTTGAGAAAAAGGAAAGGAATTTGTAAAAAACGCTAAATTAAAGACTTTTAAAATTTTGTGGTAATCATAAGACCAGTAGAGACCGAAAACGAGAAGAGGGGACAGGCGAGCAAGAGGACGCCAGAAAGTGAAGTGTTGCGGACCAGAAAAATTAAGCGGTTGAAGCGGTTTTTGCAAGGTACCAGCCCTTGTTGCGCATTTCATAATCAGGAAAGTGGGACATCTGTGGTCTTCTTGAACAACTCTATCCTATAAAACAAAAAGATTTTTCCACCTAAACCCATCCTGGGCTGTGACTTTAAGTGCTCTACCTCAGTAGATTCGAATCCTTGAATTAGATCCAGTTGTCCAAAAAGCGCGGGCTCTATAAGATCAAAATCTTTTTTTTGGATTTCAAAACGGCCTTGGAAGTCGGCGGGATCCGGGAAAATCGTTTTTAACGGTCGAGTACTGCACGTGCGTAATGGCCCAACACTTCACATTTCCTTGGATTTCACACCTCTCTCCTCCTCTTCCCTCGGTGAATTCGTAGAAGAAATATTCCTAGCTAAAGCCGCCCACATTGGGATAGTCGACGAGCATCGAGTTGAGGAGCATGACCCATCGAACAGATCAACCTCACGTACAAAGGGTGCGCCGAGTACCTGTTTTCCACCCCTACTTGCTATACTTCATTTGAAAGGATTCTCGTCCAGACAACGACTAACTAGACCGTAATGTCAGTGTTTCCATCCCCATGTCTGTTAGTTTTTCTCCGAAAACAGGTAAAAGAGGGATGGAAATCTCGCTTAGCCGGGTTTAGACTTCATTCCACAAAGTGCCTAACTACTTTGCCACCATCCCGATTAGCGTGTGAGGAAAAGGGCATAAAGTGAGCGCTGAAGTCTCTGAATTACCATCCTGTTAAGTTATCGAGGATGGAGGGGCTTTCGTCCCCAAACAAGAAATTTTTTCTATCTGAAGGTGGTGCAAAAGAAAATCTGCAATTATTACATTCGGGGCAAAGATCACAGATCACAAGCAGGATCAAAGCCTTTCGAGGTCATTCGAGCGTTCCTCCCCAAGATCGGTAAGTTTTACCATACTCATTGGACCATATTCGTCTTGGAAGGGGAAATCAATGGCTTTTACATTGCCTAGCCATGGCGCTTTCTGGACCGGGTCTGAGCCAGCACGATCCTGAATATAAGTCAAGTGCGTGGCGCATCCTGAAGGAAGGGCAAAACGCTTGGTGAAGGGGGATGGGTTTATTCATTTATTTTTCTATTTACCTATTGTTGACGTAGTTTTCACAATGAGGACATA